ACCTGCTGCAAGTCGGGTGGCCGCACCCCGCCCCGCCTCACCCCTCTCTTCAGAGTGGCCGGCCGGAGTGGCGCGCTGCTCCAGCCAGGCCGGCGGCGCGCTGCCCGACCTAGACCTTCACCTTCCGGCTGAACCCATAGCTCCAGCCCGCTACCCCGCCACGCCCCCCGTCAGCGCCACGCCAGGCCACGCCGCAGCCTGGCGGGCATCCACGCACAAACACACACGCACGCGGAAAGTATCAGTGTTGCACAGCAATTTTTTTCCTATTTTTTTCTCGTTTTTTTTGTAGTGTTTGCTTTTCCATTCTATAAATCCTCAAGGCCCGATTGTTCGGGCTAATAACCGCACTGTGGCGCTAATCGTGGAAGACGAATAAAAAGGGGTTTACGGAAACGAGGGTGACGCTGATCATTTTCTGTGATACCTGGAATAACGATGATTATTTTTGCCAGTGCCGTGACGTCAGGGTGGCGTGCGTGTAATGCCGTGTAATGCTGCTGCAAAAAGTCCGGCGTCAAGCGCGTCGAGCGCAGCGCGGGCGCGCCCCCCAAACCAGCTCTTCGGCCGGAAGCTTCGCAGAGCATCTCAGAATGTACGGCCGCGAGGTGACCGTGCACAAATCCGCGATCACGATTAATCGGCGAAACTAGAGCGCAAACATTCGTGAAAACACATGTTTCAAGCGAGAACATAAATACATGAATAAAAATATTTGTAAAAAAGCTAAAATATTAAATTTACTGAGCGGAACGGGAATCAGCTCGAGGATGATGTAGCATTGTGCGTGCGACGTGTGCTTTCTTTGGGAGTAGGCTCTTCAGAAGTGTGAAGTAGCTGTGACAACATTGAAACTCGTCCGCAATCGCACCTCGTTATAACTGCGGCACAGAGTGGGATTATGACCATCATTCTCATTGACACGGCAATGCTATAAAGTAATACCGTGGCGAAATGAAACAGTCGTCTTGTTGAGATTGTAGTTCGGCCGGGAGCAGAGGCGCGCGTCGTCTTGATGATGAGCATGGCTTTTTGCCGCCGGTGTCGCGTAAAAGCGAGCGATACTACTACAGGGTGGGGATGAGCAGGTGGCAGGGCAAGTGGGGCTCCGCAGGCGCCTGCGTCGCGAACCACCCCCTATTTCTATTATTTTCATCCCGTTTCGCGCGGGGCAAATTAATGATCTGAACTCCTGGGATTGCGTGCACCACTGCGCCGCAGCAGCGCACCGTCATCGCCGCCGTCGGGCGCGGCACAACCCGCAGCGCCGGCGCCAAGCGAGCAGAACACCCAGCAGCAGCAGCACCGGCAACAACTGAATAATTGCTAAACGGAGTAGTGGTAGTCTGTAAGAAAAAAATAGACTTAAAAAAGGTTCTTAAAAATTTCCTAATAATATTTGTTGAGAAAAATTAAGTTCATAGCTCGGGTGCGCCGCGCGCCGGCGCGCCCGGCAGGTAGGCAGACCATCCTGCACGCCTCCAGGACTGCGCAGCATAACAGCCGGCCCCGACAGGTAGGCAAGCCATCCTGCTCCCGCAGGCCCACACAGGTCTGGAGCACCTGGAGGCAGAAGCCTCGCGTGCGCCAGGTGAGCGCCGCGGCCCCCGAAGGGTAGGCATCACATTCGACGAGACGCAGCCGCCGAGAGACTCACCCTATCGATGAGGCCCAGCTTGTCGAACATGATCCAGGACGGCATGAACTTGTTGCCGAGCGTGACGAGGGGGCTCTCGTAGCCGAACATGAACTCGCGCGCCGTCATCTCGACCAGGGGCTGCGACTCGGTCTGCCGGACCAGGATGTTGACGCCCATCCGGGTGAAGAGGGACGCGTCCGCCATGACGTTGGTGATGCTCTGCGACAGACGAGAAAGAGTACGGGCGGTCAAGACGGGCGCGGTCAAAGTTTGAATCGCCAAAACACAGACAAGAATATACACCCCCGGCTCAGAGTGCCGCGGGCCAGACCGGCCCGGCCCGGGCTCTGGCAAATAAGTACTTCCCCAGTCATCACCGCCCGGACCCACCCGAACCATTCGCTTTGCTGGAAGGCAAACTCTGCGCTTCATTAGTGTGTTTACTCATATTCGGTCGGTTTACAAGTAGTCGGGCTGCCGCCGGGGCTCCCCGCCACGCCACGACACGCGCCGCGCGCGTCATAGCCGCGGACAAGAGAAAGATGCAAGAAGCAAATGGGCAGGGCCGGGCCGGAGGGAAATGGCATGTGGCCATCCCCACACCGTTTCACTCGCACACGTACAAAAAAGAACTCTGTCAGCCCCTCTCCCTCTCGCACAACGCGTCCCACCCCCGCCGCCGCTGCCGCGAGCCCCATTGGTATTCCCGCCACGGCTGCTCGCCACCGGTATCGCACCACAGCTGCAGCAGCTTCCACACCCTGATTTGCACCGCTAGCCTCAGCAGCTGCGGCACCTGCCTCACAGCCTTGCTGCGGCGCGGGACTTCCTATACTTCTCTCTTACCAGCAGTGCGATGTTGGGCAGGATGAGCGTGTCGTTCTCGGACCGGCCCTCGCTCTTCTCGGGGACCCAGACGAGCGGGTGGGTGGGGGTGCTCGTCATGGTGCCGTTCTCGTTGAATTTGACATTTTCGTGCGTAAACAACTCCCTGAAAACACAATTAATTTTAGTGTGAACCTCATGGGCGCCTGCTTCTGAAAAGTGAGCATGTCTACTTTGTTTCCCACGACATGAGAGGTTTCAAGTTTTTATTCGTTCCCGGACTTGTCCGCACCTGTAGGTGTAGGGGCCGACCTCCTGGACGCGGAGCTTCTCCCGGCCGGCCAGGAACTCCTCGCGGTTGGTCACGTTCCACAGCCAGACGCGGAGGTAGAGCTCGATCTGGGGCTTCTCCCAGAGGCCGAACATCTCACCGCCCTCGGCGAACGTCGCTTTCTGTCAAATCCAAATAAAAACAAAGATAGTGAGTGAGTGACACGGCCGGTTGGAGGCGTGTAGCCAGCTATGATGAGCTGCACGTCGCCCGGGCGGGGGTGGAACTTACCCATTGGAAGAGCGTGTTGTAGGGGTCCGTCAGCAGCATGATTGTCCCGGTGCTGATGCCAAGCAGCCCGACCATCAGCAAGATCAGCACGCCTGAAACAATGCGAGACGCAGATGGTCACAAAAGGGTTCAAAGGGTCACCGTCGCAGGAGAGGGTAGCTGTTGTAAGGATCACCACCGTCATAGGGGTACGCCGCCCTCAATGGATGAACCACGGGCGACAAATGACCGAGTGGTCACCGTCGGTGCGTTTGACTCGGCTTGACCTGCCAAGTGTCAATGCCGCGTCGTCGGCCACCTGCTCGAGAGGATCCTGCCTGAGGACCCCCCTGGCCAGGATGCGATGCGACGACGGCGCGCTCGGCTCGCCGGCCGGCCGGCAAGGGAACAGGTTCTCAGGGTCGGAATGTCCTGCCGCCATAGGCTGCTGCCGGCTGCCCCCCGCCCCGCCGTGGCGCGGGTCGGCGGGGAAGGACCTTTCGCCAAAAGGCGCAACACGCGAACAAGTGCACAACGTTGTGCAATAACTTTGGAGCGAGGAAGTGGCGGTCGCATGGGCCGCTCCGAGTTTGACTTTGATTTAGACAAACAGCAACAGATATCCCACGCCGTCGACCATCCCTAGCCCACCCTCGCCTCTTTCCGCAATGTACGTAATAAACGCCGTCTCATGGGGGATGGCATAGCCCAGCCGCACCGCCCAGCGCCTCCAACTAAGGGCACGACTCTCTCGCACCTTTTGTAACACGAAGCGCTCGCCCGCCGCCGCACAACAAATGTCATACGCAAGCGTCGTGCAATAACAAAATGGGATGCGGGGAGAGCCCCGCCGGCGGACCGGACCAAGGAGGCAGGCGGCGGCGGCGGCAGGCCCTTTTGCAACAGCAGCCATCCATTTCGTATGCAATATGTTTCGTTGGCGGCGGTTCGGCGGGTTCGGCGAACACCAGAACTGAATCACCTGCTGCAAGTCGGGTGGCCGCACCCCGCCCCGCCTCACCCCTCTCTTCAGAGTGGCCGGCCGGAGTGGCGCGCTGCTCCAGCCAGGCCGGCGGCGCGCTGCCCGACCTAGACCTTCACCTTCCGGCTGAACCCATAGCTCCAGCCCGCTACCCCGCCACGCCCCCCGTCAGCGCCACGCCAGGCCACGCCGCAGCCTGGCGGGCATCCACGCACAAACACACACGCACGCGGAAAGTATCAGTGTTGCACAGCAATTTTTTTCCTATTTTTTTTTCTCGTTTTTTTGTAGTGTTTGCTTTTCCATTCTATAAATCCTCAAGGCCCGATTGTTCGGGCTAATAACCGCACTGTGGCGCTAATCGTGGAAGACGAATAAAAAGGGGTTTACGGAAACGAGGGTGACGCTGATCATTTTCTGTGATACCTGGAATAACGATGATTATTTTTGCCAGTGTGCCGTGACGTCAGGGTGGCGTGCGTGTAATGCCGTGTAATGCTGCTGCAAAAAGTCCGGCGTCAAGCGCGTCGAGCGCAGCGCGGGCGCGCCCCCCAAACCAGCTCTTCGGCCGGAAGCTTCGCAGAGCATCTCAGAATGTACGGCCGCGAGGTGACCGTGCACAAATCCGCGATCACGATTAATCGGCGAAACTAGAGCGCAAACATTCGTGAAAACACATGTTTCAAGCGAGAACATAAATACATGAATAAAAATATTTGTAAAAAAGCTAAAATATTAAATTTACTGAGCGGAACGGGAATCAGCTCGAGGATGATGTAGCATTGTGCGTGCGACGTGTGCTTTCTTTGGGAGTAAGCTCATCAGAAGTGTGAAGTAGCTGTGACAACATTGAAACTCGTCCGCAATCGCACCTCGTTATAACTGCGGCACAGAGTGGGATTATGACCATCATTCTCATTGACACGGCAATGCTATAAAGTAATACCGTGGCGAAATGAAACAGTCGTCTTGTTGAGATTGTAGTTCGGCCGGGAGCAGAGGCGCGCGTCGTCTTGATGATGAGCATGGCTTTTTGCCGCCGGTGTCGCGTAAAAGCGAGCGATACTACTACAGGGTGGGGATGAGCAGGTGGCAGGGCAAGTGGGGCTCCGCAGGCGCCTGCGTCGCGAACCACCCCCTATTTCCATTATTTTCATCTCGTTTCGCGCGGGGCAAATTAATGATCTGAACTCCTGGGATTGCGTGCACCACTGCGCCGCAGCAGCGCACCGTCATCGCCGCCGTCGGGCGCGGCACAACCCGCAGCGCCGGCGCCAAGCGAGCAGAACACCCAGCAGCAGCAGCAGCACCGGCAACAACTGAATAATTGCTAAACGGAGTAGTAGTAGTAGTCGTAGTACCTGCATCGGAAAATTCCGCGTGTCTTAGTGCACTGCGAGTACGTACATACGTGCCGGGTACGACAGCGAGGTGGGAGTGGCGGGCTCGCATCGCGATAAAGTCCCGACCCCCCGCTGGGATCCACATTTTGATTAGCGTCCGAATGGCCAATTAGCTGCTCGTCGGCGCCGTGTTTGCGGACAGCTCGGCTGGCTTGACACGAAATACTAGAAAAGTTTAGCACCCGTCCGAACAGGAGAAAAGACAAGACCGTGTGCGTCAAAGCAAGGAATCCGCACATACGTCACTGCGCTTGGTCGTCGCCATAACGCGATCATCATCATCATCATACACGTCTTGTTCTCAGAGTTGAAAGAAAGCGGAGCTGCCGAAACTCTTCGGTCTCTCTCCTTCTCTCCCGAGCGACATTGATGCATGATTTGTGATTTGGCGAGTCGTGTGGCCCGGGCGCGGTGGACTTTGCCGGCGCCTAGAGAAAGCGCGCCGGGTTTGGCGATGGCGAATTCGGCACCGTACCCCTGCGCTGCCCCCTGCCCTGCTGCTGCTCATGGCAGGGCAGGGTCCATGCGCTCGGAGAAACGCCGCCCATGAGGTCAGAGGCGGGCCCGGCGGCGGGGCGGCGGGGGAAGCCCCAAAGGAACACCAAAGTGTCCGCGGGCGCACCGAAGAAAGTAAAAGGGGAGAGTGCAAGTGGAAGTAGTAAAGTGGTTCTGCCCCAGTCACGAGGACAAGGCATAATGAATGAAGTTTGAACGTTTCGATCATGCAAACACTAGATAGGAATACCCACACAAGAAAATAAATATTTTGCCCATTTATTCGTGGCAAAAAATATAGTTTTTATTCTTTATTAATCACTTTGTACCCCTCGTGCGTGTTGTGGTGTTAGGATGACCGTGACCGTGGAGCTGTCACGTCGCCGGGGTGCCATCCACCCACCACTTTCCACCTCTCTCTCTCTCTCTCTCTCTCTCTCTCTCTCTCTCTCTCTCTCTCTGTCCCTCCCCGGTGCACTACCGTGGCGCAACGCCCCTCCGGCTGGCTGCACGCCGCTGCAACGGCACGGTACACATGTATCGAGGCGGCCTTGGCGGTCGGCGCGACGCCTGCCAAAAAATGGCGACACGTCGCGGGCATGCCAAGATAGATCGACGGCACGTACGGATGGCCGGGGGGCGTGGCGGACCGGGCTCGCTGCGACTACTTTCACGCGTCCATTCAAATTAAGCTGTGTGTGTGTGTGAGAGTGCTCCTAGTTTTAAATTTGCCTCCAATATCCATTAATTAGCGTAATATTCCGAAAACCACAGTCACAGTATGCTATTTGGTCATGAATAAAACCACGACTTGTTTACTTTTGAAGTAAACACCAATTATTTGTTTTTTTTTTTTTTCAGAGAAATATATTTACCGTGTGAAAGAGTCTTTGATTGGGTTTGGGTGGACAGAAGGTGGCGCGCGCGGCGTGGTCGCGACGAGGCGCCGGTATGGAGAACGAATAACGTGTGTGTCACCGCCCGAGCGGTCGACCGAACGTTATGATGTCATTACATCATGTTGATGTCCGCGGCGCGCGCGCGCCAACCTATCCGTTTGCGGGATTTATAAAATGCAAATGCCGGACGCGCGCGCGGGACGGGTGTCGAGCCGCGTCGCACCGCGCCGCACCGCGCGGCGACACGCGAGGTCGGAAGCGAAGTGATCTGCCGGAACAATGCGCCGCTTTTAATGCCCCATGCAAATAAATCGCTTATACTACTGCTAGTGCAGTCCGGCCGCGGACTCCTCGGGGGGAGGGGCGAGGCAAAATCCGTTTCGCGTGCAGGTAAACGTCCCGATTTCCACCGCATCAAAAGAAGAAAAAAAACAAAGAATCCCGATTCTGTGGTGCTGCTGCGCGCGACGCGTGCCAAAGTATAGTTAGTATAAGGCGGCGTCGCCACTCGCGCCGCGGGCGACGGCGTCCGGCGGCAGTGCCTCCGGAACGTTCTCCGGCGCTGCACTTGTTGTGGCTCCAGAACGTTCTCCAGTGCAGCCGGTTTGCCGGAGCGAGTGCAGCGGAGGGCTGCCGCGAGTGGCGAGCCTCCAGCCCACCTGGCGCACTGCTTCAAGGGCCTAAACGACATGCCGGTCAGATAGCTCAACGCCTGGAGATTTTCCGCCGCTTCCAGGACTCCTTCGCTCGCCTGTCGAGCAAAGCCCCCCTGGAATTATGCCGCGACCGGGGAGAAATGCAGAGGTGCGGGCCCTCTGCAGGGATGCTCGGAAAGTTCCACAACAACACATACCCACGCGACAGGAGCAGAGGAAAGTTAGCGAGCAAAGGAACAACAACAGCAGCAGCAGCAGCAGAAGCAGAACCTGGAAGGAAGGAGCGTTGGAAGACAGGCTGACAATAAAAGAAGCTTAACAGCGGGGGTCATAAACAGTCCTGTAGAACACGATGACTAGAACTTCCCAATAATAGATTCAGTAACGTCTAAACGGGTGTCCGGGTGGGGCGCAGTGGCGGTAAGGGTCAAAACCACCGCCGATACCAAGAGAGCACTTTGGCAGACGAGAGGCGGGAGACTGATTTCGCCTCACATACACCAGACGGGCGGCGGGCGCACCCTCCCATTCGCGCACCGGTCAGGATGACGTTGGCGGGGCTAACACCCTCGGCTCCATCCAGGAAGCGAATCGGACGGAGTCGCATCGTCGGGTGTGGGGGACCTGCGTCGGCCGGACCTGAACCTGTCCCTGCCAGGCCGGCCGGCCGGCCTGGGCGGCGTCCACCAAGCGGCGTGGCCGGTAACGTGAGTTATTCGCCCTTGGCTTGTCCGGTGTGACACACTGCAGCGCAGGCGAACGCGCGCCAATCGACTTGCGAGGCGACAAAGTCTGGACCACCCGTCTCTGTTCTGCGGACGATAAGGAGATCACGCGCACAGCCTTCCGCCGCAATCAGAGAATGCTCTGGTGTCTGCGTTAATTGCTCGCTATGGGTTCCACTACTAGGCTAAATTATTCCAACTTCCCCCCAGATACCGATCGAACGGAATGTTTTCTTTTCAATCAGCCACTCTAGCGCGTGCTCCGTCACGGCCGGTCAATCTGATTAATCAAAATCGACCGCGGCTCGTGACAGCAGGCGAGGACCCGAATGAAGGGAGGACAGCCACGCGACGTTTTTCCGATGATCGGGTTTCGCCTTTGCAGGCGGACGGCGCGGGTCGGGCCATGTCAAGAGCAGCTCGTAGCCCAAGGAGAAAGGTCACGGCTGTTTCGGGAATCAATTGGCATCAGTCGGCGACAACCTTCGGCTCATTTTATTATGTCGCGCGCGGATAAAAATTAACAAAAACCCGGGAGTCCGATGAGCTTTTCGTTGTCTGAAAGAAGCGAGCGCTGGACTCAACTGAACGACGAGAGGCTGGGTATCTAAAGGAGTGGTAGCGTGTTTATAGAAAAATCATCGTCGTCTCGAGTAAATTATTGGCCTTGCTTGACGGAGAAAAATGTCTTAAGGTTGGTCGTTAGAAGCGGCGATGTGTTGATCGTTTCAGGATTAAGGAAACCAAAAACTGAGGAAAAGAGCGAAAAACGAGGAGTACAAGACGAGAAAAAAAAAAAAAAGAAAAACTAGAGGCCACCTCCTCAGCATCAACTGAATGCTACCCGGCCGGCATGACATCTAATTATTTAAATAGATACATGTGTGTTTGGATGTCCGGATGGGAGCTAGGAGGAGGTAGAGATGGGGCGAGGGGGAGGGAGGGGAGAAAGAGACGCACAGCAAAGAAGTTCGGGACAGACAGGCCGAGACAGACGGGTAAGGAAGGGGTACTGCACTATTCTGGCAGCTGGCCAAGCAAAGGCGCAGCGCAATGTAACGGCCGGTACAGCGCGTTGCTCTCGGAAGCTCCAGAGCCCAAGCTCCTGAGAGACGCCGGGAGAAGGCTGACCACGCAGCGCCGGCGCCGCACGCGCCCTTTCGTGGCACCCAGCCAGCAATTTCCATCAGAAAACTAAAATGTCTCATCAGACGGCATAATAAGCACGCGCCCGATATCAGTTGTGTAATAACACGCGATCAGAAGTTATTGTGCATTTTTTTATTTGAAAGGAAGGAGAGCGGGACAGTTTGTTGCTCGTCCCATACGCTTCCGTTAAACACGTGGAACGCTCAAAATCCCTCTTGCTCTGTTCCGGTATTCGTGGGCCATGTGATAAAAAACAAACTGGGAAATGCGGACGTCGAAATAATACTAAAAAAAATTTATAATGGTCTGGAAAATGGGGGGAAGTATGGCCAAGGTCGAGCAGTGGGAACCTGGACCGCTGCACGTACAACAGTTCTCTTATCCCCACCTCTCGTTTGAGTATCGATTTTTCGCAACGCACAACACTGGAATATAAAGCCTTTCTTGCAGGTCAGCTGGCGCAGGCAGGTCAGCTGGCGCAGGCAAGCCCGCCCCCCCCCCC